TATATATATAATTGTTAGCATGCTGGTTTTGTTTCTCTAGAGAACACTGTCTAACATAGAACCCATCTAGTGGGATTATACAGTCATCAATGCCATCAGCTCCCGATTCCCCCTGCCCCCTGCACTCTTCCTGTACCCTCAGGGAACCATTACTCCTGTACTGTTTCTGAAGAGTTCTATATCTTGACTTTCGTGTACTGAATGATCTTAAATATACAAATGAACATACACTAATATAACATGATTAATGAGGTAAAACAAATAAAAGCATAATAGTAAGGGAAGGAAATATTAGAGAACTAGAGGATAGTTATGTGATAGCAACCACACCATGGATTTATCATCCTTTCTGTGTGGTCCTTCTAAGGGAGACTGTCCAATTATCTTGCTTGTGGGTTTTGGGTCTCCATTATATCCATGGCCTTCACATCAATTTGGTTGCTTGTTTTTGAACTTCTGATATCTCTTCCCATGGACACCTCATGATCTCACAGGCTGGTGCACGTCTTCCATGTGGACTTTGTTGCTTCCTTGCTAGATGGCCACTTATTTAACTACAATCCTTTAAGACCCCAGACACTATACTTTTTGATAGCCAGGCACCATCAGCTTTCTTCACCACATTTGCTTATGTACCCATTTTGTCTTCAGAGATTGTGTCAGGAAGGTGAGTGTCATACAATACCACACTAGTTGAACAAACCTCTCTTGTACTGAGGTAAGATTTAAGATCGACATATGGCAATGTGTAAGATAGTGGGAAAGGGGGGTGTCTAGGTGGGGGTAGTGTGGAGGAGGGAGGGGATAAAGGGAGCTGATATCAAGGAGTTCAAGATGAAATAAAATGTTTTAAAACTGATCATGGTAGCAATTGTACAATACTGCTTGATGTGATTGAACTATGGAATGTTATGGTATCTATAAAATGATTAAAATTTTTTAAAATAGAAAAAGAAAGGAACTGCTCTGAGGATATTCAGAGTTCTTGCCCTGGCCATGCTGATGGGCTCAGACAGTGGAGGAAGACACGAGGACATTTTCTTGGGCATCTGGGACCAGTAAGTACCTTCCACCCAGTGGAGCACTGGTTCCAACATTACGTTAAAAACCCCAGTTTCACATCTCTGTCTTGAGTCTATGTCTGAATCCCAGATTGCACCATAGAAGCTTCACGGGCCTCAAAGGGTGCAAGAACAACCTATAAATATTCTTCCACAGAGGGTCTCTTGACCAGTTCGTTGCTGGCGAGCAAAATGATGTTGAGTTTTGAAGACTTGTGACACTCTAAAAGTCTTTCACTCTTCATTGGGAACCTGCTTCATGAGGTACAAACGTCAGAGTTTAAAGATTTATTTTAAAATTATGTGAACACGGTACAGCTGACCATCAACAGGTGTGGAAAAGGACCTAATTTGGGTTTTATTGTGCTTGATGACTGAACTAGTTCAGAAGGTTCTTAGCAATGAATTTATCATGTTCCGAGGTGAAGTCCAGCTGAATGTAGAACAAAAGACTCAAGGGTCCAGGGAAGGAGACTGATGAGACACCTACCTGCGGCCTGGAGGCCCTCATGTGCACTGAGGGGCAGAAGGACAGGCCTCACAGGGAGACAGGTGCAGAACCAGGATTTGAAATGAGAACCGGCATTGCTCCAAGGCAGTGGAAACTTCCTCACTGGTTTGAACACTCCAATACAAAAGAGTTCAGGACCCTAATCTCTTATAACTTTCTTAAGTGCGGACACTTTTATTCCTTTTGGTGTTCATGGTACTTACAAACTTTCCTTTTTCCTCTCCTGGTCTTTAATCTTTCATTTCCAACTTTTTGGAATGTTATTTCAGGAAAACACCTTTTTGAAAAAGAAGAAAACTATCTGAATTGTCTTGCATATACAAGCTGGATTTTTTTAAAACAGCCATTTCCTCAAAGGGATGTGTCTTGCTTATGAAGAACATTTCTTATGCTTCATTCATTCATTAGAATATTTCTTACTTATTTTCTAGTGTTTGAAAAATCTGCCCAGAATACAGGATTTGATAAAACATTTTGAAGGCAGGAAAAATGGAAATTGTTTCTTCTTTTAGGAGTCATGGCAACCTTATGTTGTGGAAATTTGCCATTTTGATGGAAATGGAAAACTGTTGTGGGAAAATCGACAGTTTTGATTCTTGCTGGTATGATTAGAATTGAAATAAAAATGTTAAAGGGTTTTTTTTTCTTTTGATGTAAAAAAGTATCAAAGCCTACTATTATTTTACCATTGAAATTAAAATAGTGAGAGAGGTTTTAAATGTGTTCACTGAAACTGATATGCTTTTCTCTTGAATTATTATAGTTTTTGAGGTAGGTTTTCTGATTTTAATTTGTATTTGTAAATACACACACACACACACACACACACACACACACCCCTTCCAAATCTGACAGACAAAAAACAGCAAGACTGTTGTACCTTCTACTTATCTTTGATTTCATATTGGAAAAGGTTTAAGGAAAAATAATAAAAACAAAAATTCTAAAAGATAAAATAAAAATAATTGTTTCCATTTGAAATAGTGTAAAATGCATTAGTTAAATGCAAAGATGCACTATTAGAAATATTTAAAATAAAGTGAAATAAATAATACTCTGTCAATAGCATCAATTGTATATGTCAAAAATTATTGAGTTAAACTTTTATTCTTGGTCATGTCGTTTATCTTCTACCATCTTTCCCATACTTCGAGTCTCTAGTTTATTAGCACATATAATGGCCTCTGCTTTGAGTTGTTAAACGCTCTTAGCTATCAAGCAGGAATCCAAACATATTTCTAGTCCCCTCCAGACTAGCTCAAGGTCAGAGTCCCAAGAGAAATGCATTAGGCTATGCTAGTCAAGAACGTTATCATTATCTTTACATAGAATATTGAAGCCAAAGTTAATGTGCTTTTTACCTGCTTCACTGAACAGGTTAAAATGAGAGCTAGAAATACCACCTTTACCCACTCATCTAACTCAGTAGTTTGCGTTTATATTTCTTAATAGAAAGACTTCAAAAAAGGCATATTAAATGGAAATATAAGTAAATGGCAGAAAGAGAATAAATAAAATGAGCAAGTAAGAGCACATATTACGGATGGCTTCAGAATTCTCTATGAGCTCCTTCAAGACAAACACAAAACAACACTCACGTCATCGCGTCAATGCCAACTTACAGTGACCTTATAGGACAGAGCAGAATTGCCCTTCCTTTTGAGTTTCTGAGTCTGTACATCTTTATAGAAACAGTTTATCTTTCGTCTGAGGAACAATGCCTCTAAATTTAGTATTGTTTCTGCCTTGAACATCTCTAACATAGCTGTCATATTCTGAGGTGCTTTATATGCTGGCCTGTTCTGTTGGTTTTTGTACCTCCTGATTTTTACACCCCTCCATTGCTTTACTATCTGTGTGGTTTCACTCCTTCTCAGATCAACTTGATAATGCACATACATTTTATTTCAGAGACAGAATTGAGTGATAAATAACGTGTTCCAATTACCTCCTGCTTAAATTAAGAAATGATGGCTTAGAGAAAACTAACAATGGTGAAATCTAATAATCAGTTGAAGAAAGGCATCCAAAATAGTTACATAAGTCAAATACAACTGCAGAATTGAATAATTCTAACTCTTTGTTGTCCAGTTAATTCTGACACCTAGTGGGGTAGATGAGATCTGTGCTAAGGGTTTCCAGCTGAGAACTTTTAATGGCAATAGATGGCCCCATTCTTCTACCATGAACATTTGAATTACTGAACTTTTGGTTAACAGCCAACCACGTAACCATATGCAACCAGGGCTTAGCACTTAGAACTTCCCTTTTTGTCTCACTCTGCATAATTTTATTTTTATTAGTATTCTGAGAATATTATTATCTCCATACACTCAAAAACTAGAATACTTTGCTGGCTCCCACAATCTTCTCTTATTCTCAATTAGAAAACAATTTCAGTAGCATATTGCAAGTGACAGTGGAAATTGCACACCAAAAGCACTGAATGTGAGTTTAGGAGTTCCAAAGCATGAAGGCCATATGCCTGAGGGACGATTACCTAATTTCAATAGTGAATATTCTGAGAGAGACACATGTGTAAAGATAACTTGAAAGAATTTATCAATATTTTTAATATATTTGTCACTCTTTCTTTACAAATATTCTCACAACTCGGTCTCGAATTTGCTTTGTCCTAACTCCATAGATAACCGGATTTAAGCAAGGAGGTACAACCACATACAGATTGGCCAAAAGGATGTGAATGTAGCGAGGGACATTTTTACCAAACCGGTGAGTCATGAAGGAGAAAAATGCTGGTGTATAAAAGGCCAGAATGACACAGACATGTGAACCACATGTGCTAAGTGCTTTGAGCCTGGCATCCCTGGAAGGAAGGCGGAAAACAGCATGGAGAATTTGGACATAAGAGAGGGCAATAAGGATCAAGTCAAAGATCAGGGCAGCAATGGTAAATAAGCCATAAATCATATTGACTCTTATGCTAGCACAGGCAAGGCGAGCAATCCCCATGTGTTCACAGTAGGTATGAGGGATAACATAATGTCCACAAAAGGGCAATCTCTTGAGAAGAGGGCAGAAGGGGATGACAAGCAGAACAGGCCTCCCCACTACAACAGAGGCCATGATGGCCACCACTTTGTTGGTGAGGATGGTTGTATATCTCAGTGGGTAGCAAATGGCAACAAAACGGTCAATTGCCATGGCCAGGAGCACAACAGATTCCATACCAGTGTAGGTGTGGATGAAGAACATTTGGAGAAGACAGCCTTCAAAGCTTATTTCTCTAAGATTGAACCAAAAGATGGCCAACATCTTGGGGATGGTCGAAGTGGAGAGTCCTAAATCAATGAAGGACAGAAGAGCTAGAAAGTAGAACATGGGCTGATGAAGACTCTGCTCATTCTTGATCACAAACAGGATTGTGACATTACCCACCAGCGCTATGAGATAAACAACAAAGAATGGGAAGGCAATCCAGATGTGGAGAGCTTCCAGACCTGGGACACCCAGGAGAAGGAAGATGGAGGGATGTGAAGCAGTACCATTTGCAGAGGGCATTCTGTTGAGGACTCTCGGACAATACTGTCTTCTTCAATATTCCTGGGGAAACACAAACAGACACAAAGATGATAATTGAATATAATTAGCTATCACAGCTTGTCATTAAGACTGTTAACACAAATACAAGACAATTAGAGAATTATAAACTATCAGAGACATGTAGTGTGCCTCTCCCATGTCACATTACCATACCGATTTTTGAAGAATTGAAAGGGGGTTTCTTTTTTTTCAATATGATGCAGTCATACATCGTATTCAACTCATTCTTTTGTGAAGTGCACATCCATCTATGATTTATTATATCAATTGAAAATGCTTTTGATGAACAGAGCTTTTCTAAAGTCCTTTATGTTGACTTTGTTATTGTGAGTTATTTAAGAGAAAAGAAAAAAAAACCTCCATAAAATGCCAATGAGTAGGAATGATTAAATGACAAGAGTCCTGGACTGTGAAGCTCAAAAAGACATCCAAATACCTTTTTGATAAAAGATTCATCTAAATTGTATAGTTTCCTTTATTTAGTCATTCTTATTGCACTTATTTTATTTTTTATTTTAAACTATAAAAGTGATATACTATTTCTCTAACAATAAAACCATGCTTATGTCCCTTTATTCTTAATTAGTAAAGAAAAGATTAACCACCAAATTAAACACTGAAAAAGTAACCCAAAAATCACACTCCACTTGTCTTAAGAAACCTAGAAAAGGGAAATGTATTTAATTAAATTTAGTATTCATTTATGATATTAAAACAAACTCTAATAAAATTAGGAAAGGGGGAACATGTTCACTCTGATGAAAGGCATCTATAAAAATCCGTACCTAGCATTTCCCAGAATGACAACATAATAGTGATTTGCCTCCTCAGGTTAGGAGAAGGAAGGAACATCAAGAAGCCACTAGGTATTTAGTATTTTTACTAGAGGTTCTAACAAGCTCAGTCTGTTAAAAAAAAAAGGAGACATAGAGATTGGAGTGACAAATGTAAACTTACCCTATTCATAAATGACAAAAATGTTACATAAAAAACGTTTAGTACAATTAGAGCACAATTAGATATTCTATTTTTTAAATTTTCAAGAATTGCTAAGGATGCAGTACTTAGCAATATCTACTGGAAATGATATAACAAGGGTAAACATTAAAGACAACCTAAGTAAATTGAAAAATATATCTATTAATGATTTGTAAGATGCAAATTGTTCAGATGTCAGTTATTTCAAAATTAGTAAATACATTCAAAAGTGTTTCAGTCAATGTCAACACATGCATACTCTTTCTAAAATAATTATGGAAATACTCAAAACACATTGGAAAAGGAATTACAAACTGAGGGATTTAAATGAAAGATATGCAATCTATAAAAACATAGTAATCAAAACAGTTTGATAATTGTGTGATGATAGATAAATAAGCACTTAAATGGAAAAAGATTTTAATAGACAAATACTTTTTGTTCCATTAATTTTATAAAAGTGTCCAAGAAGCAAGTCTGTGAGAATGGTGAAGCTACCCTTCTAACCATGTTCAGACAAATGAATAGCCAGAAGAAAACAACCTGAACCTTGATCTCACCCTCCTAGCATACCACAAAATCTCATTTATATATGCCATAGACTTCAAAAAACATCACATTCTAGTTATTATACTACAAAGAATATGCATACAACACAATAAGTACTGATGGTTTTTCAACACATAAAAAGAAAAAAAATGAACCAGTTAGATGTCATTGAATTAATTGTTTTTCATTTAAAAAGTGAATTTAGGACACATTCTTAAAGAAAATATTTACAGTCTCTATTTCTAACAATGGCCTTGTTTTAAAATGAAATGATTTGTAACTAAAAAAATCATAGAAAAGGAAGCAGAGTCTTAAACTAACACATCGCAAAGGAATCATTCAAATATCAGATATTACTAAAAGTATTAGACTTCAGGAAATGTAAGTTAAAATAAAATGTAATGTTTCTAAATTTAGAATGAATAGCAGTCCCCCGGTCTGGCCAGAAGGTGAAGCAATGGGATCTTGTACACGGATCAGGCAAATTGAATATAGAGCAATGTCGAAAAGGAGGAGAGTTTCTTATAAACTTAATCACAAACCACAGCAATCATTTTACACAATTTAATCCCTTTTTGCTAAAGATAAACTTTACCTATGTTCACACTATTTGTACATGAATAAGGTGGAATTACAAAACAAGACAAAATGTCAGGGGATTGTCTTACTATGTTCCTTATAATTCTTCCAAAATTTCCCTTTAGTTTAATATTGGTTTTACATGTATAACATTCTTTTTATGCTAAATAAGCCAAATCCAATACCAGTTTTAGGATAATTTAATTCTCCTTTCTGAGAAACAAAGTTTCATAAACTGGAAATGTCCCAACTGGATGGTCTCCGGTATGCCTTTCCCCTCTATTTCCCATAACAGCACTTCTATTTTTGTGCTTGATTTAAATAAATGTTTATTCTAGAAAAAGTGTTCATTGATGAAAATAATATCCATCATACAGCTGACAAATGCTTTCTGCAATACTCTCATAAAAATTTCATAACAACCCTAGGAAGTAGATATTATTAGCATACCAGATTTTAGACAAAAAACTAAATTTAAATGAATCTGAAGAACATGTTTTAGGTAACTTGAGGTGTCTGGCTAGGATTCAAATGTGGCTCCACCTCATTTTTAAACCACATATCTATCCTTTATTCAAAAATTATTTTGATTAATCAGGCACAGAAGTATGGAATAAAAATGAGGTTCTCTGTTTTCCATCGCAAAGTTATTTGAAGTTCATAGATCTAGAAAAATTACTGAAAATGCTTTGTAATGTGTCAGTATACTTTGAATTATCTTTCTTTATTATTTCCTGTAGTGGTCAGCAGTGAAAATGCAGAATTAAAATTTTGGAACCAGAAAGTGGTGATTGTTTCACAATATAGTGAACATAAATCAATGTTGTTGAAAATGAAAATTACTACATTTAAGTATAAATATATATACTTCAAAAATTTTATGGAAAAATAGACAAATTACAATGACTTCTTTCCACAAAATTTTGAAGTGCATATATACCTACATACATACCTACATATATATATACACACATTCATGTTTGAATAAAATGTAAGGGTGATAAATTAGCAGTTGCCTATCTCCTCTAATAAATGCCATATATACTTGGTGCTTAGTTAATTTTAGCTGGAATAATTTGTCATTAGTATTCACGGTAACAATTGTTGGTATTAATATCTGGCTCTGTAACATCTCAGTAGTAATATATACATGAAAACTATTATCTCAGAAGGAAGCAAGGGAACTGAGTTCTAAACAGTCAATTCTAAAATAAATGTAGATGCTCTGATTGGTATCACAAAGGAAACATTTGTTCCGGTTGCCCTCACAATATGCCAGGCATATAGTGCACATTTAGTGACCAAATGAGCACTGAAACACTCAGAACTCAGAGAATTATGATGTCATTCATTGATGTGCATGTATGTAAGGTGTTCAGTCTGGGATGAAGATGCAAATTGCTGAGAATTCCCCCTGAAATATGGAATTTGTTGATTAGAATGGAACTAAGCAGAAGAGTCAAGGAAATTTATATTATGTATCCCTCTACCCGTGACAGCTAGTTTTCTCATCTACTTGGGTTTTTGTCAGGAGATGCCAAGCCTTGGAAAAGATCATCGTATTCAGTACAGACAAAGAAGAGTCTCAGCAAGAAAGACTGACACAGCGGCTGCAACAACACACCCGGACGTAACAACAATTGTGAGGTGGGTGCAGGTCAAGGCAGTTTTGTTCTGTTACATACAGGGTCATTATAAATCATAGCTGAGTCAAAGGCATCTAACAATTTGTGACACATATGTTTACAGAATCGTGTCCTTGATCACAATGGCAACACAGGTGGGAAAGGTACTATCATTCTTGATTTGCATTTTGGAGTATGAGGCACATCCCCCAAAGGTTGCAATTTAAAAGATAAAGAAACGATCCCAGAGATGTCACTCTACTGACCACCACACTGTTTTCCTTACACATTCTATGATTCTGGATTTGTATCATTCATTAGGTGAATTTCTACATTGAAAATCTATTGTCTGCGTGCCACCTGTCTATATAGTATTAGCTGATATAAAAGGGATATTGGCACTGTGTCTTGGATCTGCGTATCTTAAGTGATACTACCTGATGTGACTTCCGGAAATTCTCCTCAATGTTGCCAGTGCTGCTCTGGCCCACATAAACTATGGCCTGGGTTGGCTTTTGAGGGAAAGCATGCTGCCTCTCACTGCAGCAACAGGCTGGCTTTTCTGCTAAGTCTCCCCCAAGAGGAACATTTTATGAGAGGACAAAGTTCCCTTGGGAAGCGTATCCTTTGCTAGTTTCTCTCAGGACTGAAAGCATCTGAGAGCTTGTGCTAAGCATTATGAAACTTTTTATCTCCCGGTGGTCAAACCCTGTATTGGCTGAAAATCCATTTCCTTTAATCCCCAGTGAATATTTTCACTTTACTTCTCGGACATGTAACGGCCTATCTGGGCATCGATTCAACTGTAATAGGGAAGGGACCAGTAGAATTGGACCTAGAAATAAATCACCGAATAATTATTGAATCCATGTATTAAAAGACTTTTATGAAGCTAGGGAGGCTGTTCCACAATATATGTTTTCTAGTCTAAAAATGTTCCTTTTTCTTTGTTTATTCTTGAATAGAGTTATCAACAAATACAACTAATGTCACATGCACGTAAAATGAGGCCAAAGATATATGTTTTGAAGCTGCAATAGAATTTTGACAAGGAGGTGAAAGGAATCCAAGTTGGAGCCAGAAGATGGCGTGTAGTGAAAAATATACGCCCCAATGTCAGATGGACGTTGGCTGAAAGCTGAGAGTGCCAGAAAATTCTTACCCTGTGTTTTATTGACTAAACAAATGTATTCAATTATATTTGACCGTAACAAATTCCAGATAACATTGTAA